TATATATATATATATATATATATATACACATTTTATTTCATGAAACCATGAATGTGGATGGTATGAGAAGCAATAACTTCTCAGCCATGTTATTTTCTTGCTTTGGTGCGGACATAATGATTTTGGCAGACAGTGACTGTTGGAAATGTATGTCCTTTACTTACATACAAAAATATTTTGGGGTTCACGCTCAGATTAGTTGACCATGTTATGTTTAAATATGATGTTTACATGAAAAATAATATTGTCGCAGAGTTTCAAGTGTGTCATAAAAATGACAGATGTCAACTTTCCTCCTGGGTGTGGGGTGGCAAGTGAGATGGCCAGGGAGTGAGGAGAGGTGGCTCTGGCCACCCCTGTTCACCACGGAGCTCCACCCCTGTTAATCATGTAGCTCCGCCCCTATTAAGAACCATCGAGTACAGTAGTCCATTCTTTTCGAACATTGGTTATTATTGTGAAAGATATGCAACTATTTGTTTCAGGAAAAAGTGATATTTCCTTCACATCTTTCCACCTTTGTCATCTTGTGTCATTTCCAGTTAAAAAGGCAACATAAAACTCAGTTGAAGTCAAAATATGGCCAGGGTATCAGTTGAAAGAGTATCATCTATATGGCCTTCCGTGTTACTTTGTGTCTCTTCAACGTAAATGTAAAATAGGCTACAGCATATGTACTTCAATTTGACAACTACAAAGTGAATATTTTTCCACCTCTGGTAACGTTAGAATGAATGATACAACTCTATGAATCCCTTTAGGTTGTGCTAATGGTAATAAATTTAGTGTATTTACTTCTAATCCGTGAAACCACTTAGTTTTAAAGCAATCCCTCACACCTCCTCCCATTTTGGCAGCTGTAAGAATTTCTTGCGGACACACGAAGGCGCCATTTGCTTGTTACGTGCGGTGGAGATCAATCATCTCTGAATGTTTTTTATACCACATAATGAAATCGCCTCTTGATCTGCGAGATCTCATCGGTTGGCAGCGGGCGGGGGTGGGGGCTCCGTGGACCTGTCAGCACGCACAGCGCGCCACACACGCGCACGCTTGTAATGAACGGCGCTCACGAGTCATCGGCTCAGAGAGCGTGAACACAAATGCAGTCTTTATATTTATGGTAGAAAAAGCCAACACGGGACTCGGGCTGAGTGATGAGGCTCGATCGCATCCTTCCATTACGCACCGGAGGTCTCATATGGCCGCTCTAAGCAGCGTTTTTTGGCACCGTGGTGGACCGGGAAGACCTTCGGTGACACACGAGGACCACACGGACCCATATGTAGAATTTACTACTTCGTCTGCCAACTTATTTCCCTTAATGGCGTCAAATTGTCGCTATTGCTGCTGTTCCAACACTACACATGTCGGACCGTGCTTTTGGGTTCCGACGAGCAGGAAGTTCCGGACGCCCTCACGCTAAGTTTTTTGTTTGTTTGTTTGGTTGTTTTTTTTTTTTTTTTTACTTTGATTGTTTTCAAGTCCCACTGAAAAGCGGGAGCAACACTTCCACCATGGTCGCCGTGCCCTGAAGGGAGATGGGTTTCGAGGGGAGGGAGCTGAACGGCTCAACTTGTTTGTCCGGGAATGAGAACGGCACCGGACTGAGTGCCTCGTCCGGACTGTCCACTGCGCTGGCCAGCGTGCTGATCTTTACGATCGTGGTCGACATCCTGGGCAACGTTCTCGTCATCCTGTCCGTGTACAGGAATAAAAAGCTTTGGAATGCAGGTGAGGTACTTGAAACAACCCCTAAGTGGTGAGTTCATGCAAGAAAGGAACAAACAAAAAAACGAAAAGATTACATTGACAGTATCTGTCTGAATTCCAGGAAAAAAAAACATCCTCTTTTTACTGCATTGTTTTATTTGTACACGTGTAAAGGATGCCGCCAGCCAGCTCCGTCGCCGTTACACATGCATTACATAATCCATACACAATTTGCAGACATATAAACATTTTCTGGCCAGAATCTCCTTCAACCCATTTCCGCTTTTTTTTCAGGCCCTGAACTCCAAAATTATGATTTGTAGAACCAAATCCAGAGAATATCAAGTGGGATACATGAGCATAGATTCCTGGTTATTATGATAGCTATTTGCAGGAATGGTTTGTGACCAGCTGCAATGTCGCCTTGTGGTTAGTACGTCTGCCTCAGGGCTTTGAGGTTCTGTGTTTGAATCTCACATGAGTCTGCATGATCTCATGCTTGCTTGGGTTTTCTCCAGGTGCTCTGGCTTAAGTAGGCATGTTGAATTGTCCATTAACATAAACATGATTTTGAATTCTTGTTTGTGTATTTGTGCCGTGTGATTGGCTGGCGACTTGCCTCTCATCCAAAGTCACCAAAGTCAGCTGGGATAAGCTCCAGCTCACCTGATTGGAAAAGAGCTATGAATGAATGGATTGAAATCTATGAGGAAAATATAAAAGTCTGGTGAGATGAATTATAGTTATCTACAACGAGGATTCCTTAACCTTATACTATTAAAGTCAAATACACTGGGCACTATAACATAGGCTTCTTATTGGTGGGCTGCTAGTCTAGAGGCCTTCCGATACGCATGTGGATGAAAGCAAAATATTACATTGAAGAAGGAGATCAAATATTCGGACTGTTTGAGGTACATATTGTGATACTGCAGTGCTTCTCAAATAGTGGGGCGCGAGGCTCCGTCAGGGGGGGGCACGTTTGACCCCGGGGAACATGCTTTTTTTAATATAGACTTTTTTACTGTCCTAGAATTAAGTGCAATTGCACCTCCACTACATTAGGGAGCAGTGGTGCTCTCATTAGCAGAGTGTGCGCAGGGAGCATTCGAAGGGAGGAAATATGAGAAGCGTACGTAGCTCTTTGCTTCACTGTGACTACGGTGGGAGACGAGGAAAGACCGATGAGCTTACTGTGTCTAAAAATGTTGGCAGCGGACAGCATGAAGCCAAATAAATTAAGGCGTCACTTAAAGACATTACACCCCAATCATGCTGATAAGCCACTTGAGTTTTTTTAGACGAAAACGTGCCCAATATTGCAAACAATCATCCTGCTTTGTGACTGCTACTGCAGTCAACTAAAATACAGGCCTCAGCTACAGATTGAGCAGTACCCGAGAGTTGCTATGTCCTGCTTCAAACCTCGCTTCGAAAAGCTGTGCATTGCAAAACATGCTCATTGTAGCCATTAATCCAGACATCATCTTTGATTTTAAAAATATCAGCACAAATTATTTTATATATTTTTGTTTTGCAGGTTAAAGTTTTTTTAATATTGGGCTCCTGAGTTAATGTTGGTGATGAGTTTGAATGCATTATTATTTATTGATTTTATGCCATTTTATTTTTCAGTATCGTATGGTTTGACATGGCCAGTTTAAAAATATTTACAATTTAATTCAGGATTTATTTTTATTTTTGAATTTCAGATGCACTTTAAATCTTTTCTGTTACAGTTCATAAAGCTATTATTTGTTTTAAGTTGGTCCATATTTCTTTCTTTTTTATTCTCTTATACGTTAATAAGGATACAGTGTTATGCAGAGGTGTACTTATAACAGTTTCATAGACAAATGATACTATTTATAGTCGCGCGGGGGTGTGGGGCGTGAGATGTTTTCTTCTTCCTAGGGGGGGGCATGACAGAAAATAATTGAGAAGCACTGTGATACTGTAAACACATCAAAAACATGTTTAAAAAATAAAGCTTTGATTTTCAATATTTACCCACAAAATCTTTTATCCTGATTGGATACTTGCAGTTTCGCAGTTACTTCACGAGGTGATATCAGAAGTTAAAACTGTCAACCTGTGATTTTACAGTTTCTCACCTATACTGCTCGGTTGCACCTAAATCCTCTATTAAAATGCTCATAATATGACTTAGAAGTCACAGCCAATCCTGTGCTTGACAGCCTGTTATCTTAAGTGAGTCCCTCTAGGTGTGATGGAGTTTCCGCAGCCTTGCCTGTCTTCTGTCACATCTCTCCATAAATAATAACACCCCCTTCCCTCCATTTGGCTTTATCCTTGGTCCACCATCCTGATAAATCACATCCTTCCTTGTATGAGGACCTGTAGTGCCAAGGTGAGAGACTGTTGCTTCACTTGACACAACATTGTATCATATTGTCATACACTCAAGGGCTCCCAGGAGAAGCGTGAAGGTGAGCAAGATGTTCATTAAAGCCACTTTAATGCTGTTTTTCATACTTCTGAGAAAATGCAGTCATCCAAAAGACTCTCTGTCGAGTTCCGAGTCGTGATTTCAGAGTAGTGAAAAGAGTAGGAGAAGTCCGCTTTTCACCTAAAGTCAGATGGGATATGTTGCAGCTCACAGCAAACCTTGAAAATGGGAAAAAGAGTTTGAAAATCAATCAATAGATCAATGAAAGAACAGCAGTGTTTTGACTGTGTGACAGATATTATGTTTTGAATGCAAAGAAACCAATGTGAATTGATGGTGCACATATGTCTCTTGATTTTTTTTTGCACATGTCTTGACCAAAAAAAAAAAAAAAAGTTTTTGCAAATAAATAAATTGAATTATTAAGTTTTTATAAAATTGGAAAGTCTGTTTATTTCTTCTTTAATTAAATTAAATCCCATTTGTAAAAACCTGCATCTGTGGAATGAGTACCACAAATTATAATTATGTAGCATTGTGCTGCACCAGTGTAAGATTTGCTAAACCTTCACCATTTTTTAAAAATTGTGCTATTGCAACTGACTTTTGTCTATTGTTTTCTGACTAATTATGTTCAATTGACTCCTCTGAGAAAAAAAAAAAAAATCACATGCGTGTGGTCACATCTTCCACAGACTGTGAGCCCTGTCACGCACCATGGTGGGATGTCACTCAACTCCTCAACCAGGAGTTGTCCCAAGTCAGCTCACGTGTTTGGCTTGTGGCTCCAACACAAAAAGCATGCCTGAGTATTGGCTCACAGTTGAAAGACTGCACCATTCTTTCTGCTCAAAAATTCCTGACTCCACGGGGGCTAACGTTAACCTCTTGAAGGGTGGGGTTAGGCCCCTCACTGTGGAGCGATGAGATTACCAAAGGTTGCAATCCCCATCTTTCGCTGGATGATATGATATTGCCTTCAGTGATGGAAAGCCTAATTTTTCCAGAATAAGTTTCTTGCCATCAGCAGAGAACAGTTAACATTGGTACGAAGTGTACATACGTGAGGGCCGGAGCCCATCCAAAACCACCTCTGAAACCTTGAATGGGCCCAAGTCAATTGCACATAAACAAATAGTCACATTTAATCTGTTGAACAATTTAGAGCCTTCACCCTAACTAAGCTACAGCACTTGGAGGAAATTTCTACAAAGCAGAGGGAGAACAAGCAATGTCCACATATGGTTGTTGTTATATATTTATGTTCTTGGATATAATATTTGTTATTATGCTGCTTTTAACGTCAAAGGTTCTATACTTAAAAGACAAGGCCGTTTGTACCAGGCCCTCACAGTGAAGGTGGAGAGTTGTGAGAAAGCCAATGACTAAGAGTCGGTGTTCGCACAGAGATGCTAATGAGGACATGAAAACCAGGCGTCAGTGTGTTGGGTCAGAGAGTGCTTGGAATAATGAGAGATTCCAAGTTCAAATACATTACATAACAAGAAGTGGTCCTGTATTCATGTGCCAAAAGCTAGTTGGCAAGAAGCATCGTACCAAGGGGGGGAACATTTTGATTATCGATTTTGCAAAAGCACACAGTTGGCTGGTCTCGGACAAGAGCGTCGCGGGTAAAAAGCCCTGTTGAGCAGTCTTGCGTGCATGCGGGTGGGTATGGTATCCGTTGGCCATGGCCACTGGACACCAAAACAAGCAGGAGTGACTGATGAGAGCAGTCGTATGGTAGTTTACAGTCTTCTCATTTCATTGCCATGTGTGAGAGTCTCCAAAAATAAACAGGTAGATCGAGAAATGGAGCAATATATGGATCATGAAATTCATCCGCAAAGGGAATTCAGTCCTGGGGTTTCTACGCGGCTTTCCACTTTTCTTTCCCTTCAGTAAATGCCATTTGTAGCCCTGTCAGTGTCTCAACAATCTTGGCACTGTTGTTGAAGAACTTATTTATAGCGTTGGCTTTTACATATGAATGTTTAATTGTACAGATTTTCTTAAAGGCAAGCAAAGTCCTGGAACAAAGCTGTACAAGTCTCTTTGATGGTTCGTTCATCTCCTCACAAGACACATGTCAAACTCAAGGCCCGGGGGCCAGATCGGGCCCGCCACATCATTTTATGTGGCCCGCGAAAGCAAATCAAAGAAGTCAGCCAGGGGTGTACTGGGCGTGGTACGCGGGGGTACGCCGTCCACTCACTTCTCTCGACGCCACATTCAATTTTTATTGAAATGTTTGTTGATCATTGTTCTAATGCGAGTTATGCTTAATAACGTCGGCCTGTGATTATTTTGGAGTAGTAAAACATTAAATTTAACGTTAGTTCAACTGGTGTTGTAGCCTATGATTGATGTTCTGTATGTATATATAGAACATCCCAGAATCGCGTACACTCACTTAAAAAATCCCCACTACACCAGTGAAGTCAGCGTTCACGATGCTTGCTAAAATTGCTACCAAAATTCTCAAATTCTCATTTGTAAAAAATAAGAGTGATACTGTCAGCATTTTCTTGTTACCAAACCCATTACAGTAACTTCAACAGTAAGTGAATAAACATTTATTCTTGAGTTCTTTATATGGTTTCAGTCATAA